TGCAGGCTCCCACCCTGGGGGTTTTTAAGAGGAGGTTGGATGACCACCTTACTGGGGTCATTTGACCACAGTGCTCTTCCTGCCATGGCAGGGGGTCGGACTAGATGATCTGCTCAGGTCCCTTCCGACCCTAGAAACTATGAAACTATAAATGTTCAGTAACTAAGGCGCTTCAATGAACGTGTAGCAATGTCCACGGTGTCTTTATTAATCCTTGCCGAGGCTGTAATTAAGGTTTTGCTTTAGGGAGGCTGCTAATGCGCTGTGTGTCGAATGTGTCTCTGCAGTAAATAATACACTTTTTATGGTCACAATCCCCTTCCACACAGCTTTTCCTGCATAAAGTAAAGAGTAAAATGCACTGCATTATTGGAGTTGCATGTATTTAGGTCAGAGAGCAGACCTTGGTCCAAAGAATGAAATCTTGGTCCATTGAAATGTGTGGGAGATGCAATCTAAGACTCATTTTATGACTTCACTAGCGATGCTGCAGCATTCTCCCTTTGCTCATTTGATTCTGTGCTTTTGCAAAACTCCCATAAAGGGCAATCGATATTAGGAACATTTGTGTGTTTTGGACATGCAAGGAAGGCTCGGTGAGCAGTGCACTTCCAGATGGGAGAATACACATCTCCACAAACTATGGATGAGAGGGTTGAAATTCAAACCTGAAAATTATGTAAAACATGGTACCGGCTAAGAACATTCCAAAAGCATTCAAGTCCGTTTTTAAAAGGATTCATTCTGAATGGTCATTTTATATTATTTTAGAGGCGAGAAGCCCAACGTTGAAGTTAGCCACATTCCAAAGGTGTACCACAGATCCTACAGGCCTGAAGGGATGATACCAAAATACACTGGTCACGTTCCACGTAAGGACTTTGAATGTCTTGCCTTTAAAAACATACAGTTCACTATTGTGAAACTGTTTTCCAGCACTGATTTACTACTTATTTATTTTGGTTGTTCCCTCTTTTTGAATAAAAAGCTGCCCATCCAATACTCTAGCCGCTCTTAACAATATTTTAAAAGCACCTGTTTAAATATTGCTGATTACAGCAATAAGAAATGACCCTGTGTCAAGACGATTGTAACAAAAACCAACTAGCCTTTCTACAAAATCCTCACCAGTTGCTTACCAGCTAACCCACCTCCTTAGTGGGGAGGAAGAAAGGGCCAACTTGACAGTTCAACCTCAAGGCTAGCAAACAAGGGAGAGAAGTGAGCTCCAATGGCTCAGACACTAATGGGGAATATTGTGCCAAATACCCGTCTTTTCTCTGATGTCAGTGGGAATCCATTGTAGGCACTCCAAGGAGGCCCTAAATTGGGTAGGGGATTCAGCATTTAAGCAATGGACGTTTGTTTCTTGCAGATCAACATCTTATTGTTGGAAAAACCTATGGAAACTTGTGCCGAAGCTGCTCTGCGTGCAGTCACAAGGAGGCGTGCTATGGCACATATCTCACTAAGAAACATCGTGCCGAATGGAAGCACCAGAAGAACAGGGAATGTGACGTGAAGAGCTGAGACACGTAATGCTTTCGACTTTGGCAAGTGCTGATTAAAAGCCTAATTAAATACTATCTGTGATGCGTGTGTCTAAGCCTTTTAGGCTTGGTTCCAACCTTTAATGCTTTATTATTTTGAGATGTGTCGTGCTTTGGACAAATTTCACTTGTGAGGCGAACATAAAATCAGGTTCTATGAGTCATGAACTCATCTAGCGTTTAGCGCTCAGCTTTCTTTTAATGTCCTTTAGCAGAACTACTCAGAGACTTGTTCATTATAATTTACTTCTGTTTTCCTGAATGGAGGGCACTGAGTGTTTGGACTGCAGTAAAAAAATTACCAGGGTGAAAAATTCCAGAGAGCAAGAAATCTGTGACTTGGACAGGGGTTCAGTACAGGAGGGCAGGCATGGTGTGTTGGGCTAAAGCATTTTAACAAGTAACATTTAAAATACTGCTTCAGCCAACATTTCCAAACTGCTGACAACTGAGCCCCACTTCATAAAAATAAAATCATTCTTGCTGTAATTCAACCACCCCCTTTGTGATCAAAGTCTACTCATTTATATTTATAAGGGATTGACACATACTTGTTCCCCTGCCTCCTGGCTTAACTTTTTGTGTCCTTTGATGTGGGCATATCCTATGTTTTGGGAAACTGGAGTATAGAAGGAGGCTGAGGCAAAAGATATCAACAGATTGTGATACAGCCAGGCATGTAGATGTCATTATTTCCAGGACTGGTGGGTTTGGAGAGATCAGAGACTCCTTTTCCCTTCAACTCATAGCTATAGGGCATTAGGTCTGTGCGAAGCAGCTAGTATTTGCTTCAGATTCGGCTGATTCGGGGGACAGTGATTCGATTCAGTGATTTGAATCACTGTCCCGAATCAATTCGGCCAAATCTCCAAATCACCCAGGCCCATCCCCTACAGCCAGCAATGGCTGCCCCACCCACCCCAGCTCCCGGCACTTGTTAAAAAAAACCCTGACCCAGTGGGTGCTGCCAGGCAGGGGGCAATCCCTGCTGCCCCCCACTGCACACTGCATGGGGGGCTCTGCACAAGCCCCCCGCCCCACTGCCCCAGTCCCCCCATGGCTGTCAGGCCCACCATGGTTCCGGCCCTTTAAGAAAAACAAAACAAAAAACCCTGGACTCACCATTCCTGCCGGCGGGGGGGTGATCCCTGCTGCCCCTCTGCACCAGCCCCCTGAAGCCCCAAGGCCACTGCAGGAGGGGTGAGTTTGGGGGCTTTTCTCCTTTTTTTTTGTCTTAAAGGGCCGTAACTGAGATGGGCAGGGCAGCCATGGAG